TAGGATCATCAAAGAATCATCAAAATGAGAGTGTTGAACTTTGGGAGTTCTAAATTGAATGAGATTCGGAAAAGCATTTAATTTAAATGAAATAACTAAAACCTTTTGCTGAAGAAGATAGATACCGATCAAAAAAACATTCAAATTCTAACAGAAAAATCCATTGTGAAAGAATCAAAAGTTTCTTTTTTAGTTCGGAAAATGAAAATGAAATATAACAAGAAAAAGCATGTAAACAATCTTTCTTCTTTTTGTTGTTGCTTAAATCTAAAATATAAAATTATTATATAATAATATAAAACAAAATAAGTGTTTCTTAGATTTCAAGTACTATGTTTGTTTTCATATTTAGACATTGTCTATATACAATATTATTGTTCCAAATAAAACTATTTTATTGAACAATATAATTCCTTAACTTCAATGAAAATTATTAAACAAATGGATCAAAGGTCGAATTTTTATAGTCTTTACTCGATACAATGTTTTTTTCCTCTGCCATTTTATGTAGAGATGAAAACCATAGGGTTTGTTTGATTGTTTTTTTTTTTTTTTTTTTTTTTCATATTTCGCCGAGAATTGTTTACTCTGAAGGTTAGTTTTGTGTACCGACCACCAAGTTGATGTGTACAAAAATTGACAAAAGATTCAATATGTATCGTTTCCTAGGGGTGAGCAAAAGAACTGAAAAACCGAACCGAAAAACTGAAAAAAGTGAGCCGTTTCAAACCTTACCGAATAGCAAACCATATGTACGGTTTTATACTCTTCAAATACCGAATTATTCGGTTCGGTATGGTGGAAAGGGTAAATGACCGAACCGAACCAAAAATATAAAATGACTTCATTTATGTATTATATGTATTATTTTATCCTAAATTTTACTTTGTATCTTTCAATTACTTGCCTCATACTAAACATTTGTTCATAAATTGAGACATTATATTTTATTTATTTAGTAACTAAATTTTACTCGAGTTCATGATTTTAATAATGTGGTGGATGAAAGTAGGAAAAAAATAAAGCATAGTACATCATCTAAATTAAGTCCTATGGGATTAAAAGATTTATATTTTCATTGCATTCGTTAGTTGTGAAAGTAATTGTGATTCGATTCTTTTGTTTGTATAACTTGAATATATAGTTACTCTTGAACCGAAAAATAACTGAAACGGAACTGAAAAAAACCGCGAAAACCAAAAGAAACCGCACCGATGAAAACTGACATATATGGTTTCTAATTTTACAAAAAATGATATATTCGGTTCATGTTCGGTTTTAGCCAAAAATCTAACCGAACCGACCCGGGCATACCACTATGGTTTCCTTCAAATGTCATACTATATTGACATCACTGGATTGGATTATTCTAAGCTAGATTATTGAGTTGTCTAAAATAATTTTTTCCGAAGGAACCATAAATATTCTTTTATTATCAACAATTTATTATTGTAAGCTAGAGTATTAACAAAAGATTTATTATTATTATACACACACACACACACACACACACACATATATATATATATATATATATATATATATATATATATATATATATATATATATATATATATATATATATATATATATATATTCACTGTACACAAAATGGAAAATGATAATTAAATCCTTAGTAAGAAAACAATTTGCCCACAAAATTCATTAGTTTTGTTCCATGTTACGTTGATGTACTTCAATGGACTATATTATACTATACATGTGTATAAATCCATACCAATTAAAACATGTATATTATATATTTGTTGTTATATATAAATCAAAGATGAAAAATAACTTGATTAATTTCACAACTTGTGGCATAGATTAGACTAATTTATCGCATTAATGCATATAACTATATCAGAAACATAATCACTTACAATATACATACACATTATAGTATGTCATTCTCACCAAGCATCATTGAATATAGAAGAGGCATAATGAAGAGGAAAAAAATTCCCCGTGTACATAGTTATTTGTCAACTTTTTTTTTTTTGTGTGTATATTATCGTATTGTCTGATTTTTTATTTATTGTTTTTTTGTACTTATGTTGATATAGAATATGAACTACATCTATTATGGGGTCTATCATCTATTTCATATGGATTCATACGAGCTCACTGTAAAAAAAAATGACTATTGTATCATGATAATCAAATTACATAACTAAATAAAAAGTGATAATAGTAGTTTATTGTATTTACTTAAAAAAACATATGTGATTAATTTATGGTACAGACTGATTTGATTGTCACACAATGTTTGGTTCTCTCATTTTCTTCCAACTCTCACCAAAAACATATCAAGTTAAGCTTTTAAAAAAAAAAAAAAACCCCAAACATTTCAAAAGAGTCGATTTCCTTCAAACATAATTTGACTGTTAAAAACAACAAATTAAACTATGAAGATGAAAAACAATGATTTAAGAATATTGCAAAATTGCTTAAATAAATAACACATGTTCTATTATATGTAATGAAAGAAGTTTAACTTGTCTCAAAACATAATTTAGAAAAATTAAATGTATATAATAATATATTATTTCTGAATATGTGTCAAAACATAATGTAAAGATAACAAATATACAGTAAAATTATTACGACACGTGCAACGCACGTGCACCTGCCTAGTTAAATAAAAAACACAAAACATTAAAAAACAAAAAAAAAAAAAATCATTTCCTTTGTGTAAGACCAAATAAAATACATAAATCCAGAAACTCATCTTCCTTATTTGACGACTTACAAATCTCCTCCTTCTTCTTCACAAACCCGCCAAGAAATTCTACACACCAAAATTACCAATACATACCAAACATTCACCATGGAACCAGAAAACAATGATATGGTGGTTTACGAGGGTGGAGAACACAATGAAGTACGTTTTAACCGTTTATTTTTGCTTTTAGATCGTTTTTTTTTGTTGGGAAAAAAGATTCGACGATACCAAAAATCGGTCTGCAAATACCAATTTTTATTACTAAAGTTGGTAACCACATTCCGATTATTTTAGTAAAAATCGGTATTTAGAAACCGATTTTTGTAGTAAAAATCGGCATGACAACACCGATTTGTTTTTGTATTATCAGTATTGTCATGCCGACTTGTTCTAGAAAAATCGGTTTTGAAGTACCGATTTTATTATCTGTGTTTTTTTTAGACCGTTTTCTCATACTTTCGTGCAGCAACTGGAGGATTATTCAAATTAATTATCTAACGAATAAATATTTGAGACACGGAAAGCTCAACTCGATTGGGTTAAAGGAGTTGATAGACGCCACCGAATGGTGATAAACATTTTCGTTTCAAATATTTACAAAATATCAATTAACCAAATATATAATGTATTATTTAAAAAAATCCGAACAATATCGGTATCCGAAAACCGATTTTGTACTCAATAATCGACATTAGAACGCCGATTTTGACTTGTAAAGTCGACGATGTGTCGCTGATTTGGTTAACAAAAATCGGCATTATGACGCCGATTTTCGTGTACAAAATCGGTCTAGTAAACCGATTTAGGAAACCAACGAAAAAAAAAACCAATTTCAATATCAATTTTTTTCCAAAATCGGCCAAATCCTTGCAACCCAACAAGAAATAAGCATAGATTTATGTTCATTCATACATATTTATCAAGAATCAATGTTCGATTAATGTTTTCGAATTTACAAATAAAAATTTAGTAAAAAGGACATCGATGCTCGATTGATGTTTTCGAATTTACAAACAAAAGTTTAGTAAAAATGACTTACTTGTTGGTGGTGGTGCAGTGGTGGTAATGGTGCGGTGGGTGGATCGCTGGTCATCGCCGGTCATCGTCGCGGCTGTCTAGCGGCGGCAGTCGTGATGTTTCTTTTTGTTTTGTTTTTTTTTTTTTTTTTTTGGTCTTGAACAAATTAGAAATAGGATTTATTTGTATTTGAGTATTATTTGTGGATAAGGGTATATTTGTAATCTTTGGTCTTGATGTAATAAAATTAGATTAATTTACGGGCTTATGTGGTTTTGAACTAGTAAAAAAATGGGCTTGCATATAACCACCGCCTTTAGTTATTGCTTTTCTTACCCACTCTTGGGGCTTTTGAGTAATAAATTGTAATAAGGCTTTTCTATCCGTTTTTATTCATGATCTTTTATGGGTACTATTTTCCTTGTGTTAGGCCCACAAGGTTTTTAACAAGACCTCCTTTGCGTTTTCATTAGTATTTAATGGAATAAAAATATTTTAGCCAAAAAAATAATTAAAAAAAAAAGAAAAAATTAAAAAGAAAGAAGATTATCATGCTAAAGATATTTAATCGGTAAATATCTACGCTTTTATGATTGGGTCTTGAGATTCACTTTTTGCTAATGAAATTCATTTTTGTATTCTCATACCTAAATATTATATATTCTTAATGAATTTGAATATTTTTTGGGTAATGAATGAATAGGCATATCGAACGATATATGTGCACTGGCCTCTAGTAAACCTGGTATTGAATTTGATTTCAGTTGTTTTGGGTAAGCATGACTTTCAGGTACCTGTATTTGCTACTAAATTTTGTTAAACTAACCGTAGAAATGAGTTATGGGTCATAGTCATCACTGTAAATTAGCTACATGATATATGACCTTTTCTTCACTCCAAAACTTCTATTACAAAATAAAAAAATATGTGAAATTTAGAGTTACATATATTTTGTTTGCTGTTGACTTAGAGGTGGCAAGCAAACCAATAAGAAACCAAAAAAATAAAAAATAAATAAATAAATAAGTAAAAAGGATCTTTGGGTAGAGAATATGCCATCTATATAGTATGCAGACTTCGTCGACACCAATTAGTCTATACTGCGTAATTTTCTTGGAATCCTCCATTCTCTCTCTCTCTCTCTCTCTCTCTCTCTCTCTCTCTCTCTCTCTCTCTCTCTCTCTCTCTCTCTCTCTCTCTCTCTCTCTCTCTCTCTCTCTCTCTCTCTCTCTCTCTCTCTCTCTCTCTCTCTCCCACACACACACAGACTCATGGAGAGATTAGCATTTTTGGTTGGTGTTATAGGTATTTGCAGAGCACATGTCAAGTTTTTGCATGCGCCTTAAAGCTTAATTTCCATACATTTACACATACTAACGTTTATAAGTTAAAAGCTATGTTTATGTATTTCAGGGAACATAATCTCAGTTTTTATGTTTGTTTCCCCAGGGTAAGTGTAAGCTAATTAAGTGTATATATAGGATATGTATATAATTTAAGAAAAGAATAAAATGAAGTTACATGAAAAGATGGAATATTAACGTGCAGGATGACATTTGTGAGGATAGTGAAGAAGAAATCGACAGAGGAGTTTGAGAGTATTCCTTACATTTGTACATTGCTAAGTTCATGTCTATGGACATACTATGGAATCACAAAGCCTGGGAGTTTTCTTGTAGCAACTGTCAATGGTTTTGGTGTCCTCGTTCAAATCATTTTTGTCGTCTTGTTTCTCATTTTCGCCCCTCCCCACAAACGGGTAATAATTATTGGAGATCATATTAATTATATTTTTTTTCATCCATCGATCAATGGATCGATCAATCTCCTCTTTGAAATTAATTAATAAATTAATGAAAGCAGGGTAAGACAGCAGTACTAGTTGGAATAGTGAATATTGGGTTATTAGGAGGAGGAATAACAGTATGTAAATACTTAGTGTTGGATGAGGAATTGAGGATTGATATAATTGGGTTGATGTGCTCTGCCCTTAATATTGTCATGTATGCTTCTCCTCTTTCTGCCATGGTACGTATTTTAATAATAATATATATGTTTATTTATAAATAGTCTAGTATATGTTGCTATATGATGCATGTGTTGTTAATAAGTGGAAGTTAAGCAATTACGCGTTGACGTGGGATATGTAATGTAAACAGAAAAGGATGGTGAGGAGAAAGAGTGTTGAGTATATGCCATTCCTTGTCTCATTTTCCCTTTTCTTGAATGGAGGGATTTGGACTTTCTATGCCGTGCTTGTGCAAGATTGGTTTCTTGGAGTAAGTCTTTTCTTCTCTTTCTTTTTTAACTATAATATATATAATAACTAAACTATGTATATGAATATGATGTTTAATTAATTGCACATATAAATATATACACTTGATTTCTTCAAAGTTTTACTATGCCAATAAATCCTATTAATTTTTATGGGTAATACCAAATGCGCCCATGACAAGGGCACTTAATTAAAGGAAGGATATCCAACTTTATTATCTTTTAAATAAATCCAGTCCATTCAAACTTATTTGCAAATAAGGAAAATCCTTTTATATATACCAAAATTACCCCCAATTCATTGAGACCCAATTCAACTCCAATTTCATGATTTACACCCCAATTTAGCCCAATTTCATCGATTAACCAATTTTAACCCTAATTTCAATTTTGACCCGCCACCACAGGAGACCGCCGGCCGCCGCCGTTGACCGGCGTTGACTTTTTTTTTTTATTTGAAAAACTTTTCTTTTTCCTGAAATTTTTTTCCAGCCGGTCAACCGCCGTTGACCGCCGGTCTCCGGCGTTGACGTTTTTTTTTTTTTATAATTTGTTTTTTCTTAAAAAAATATTTTAATCAATATTACTGTCTTGGCTGCTCAATTACTGTCTCCGGCAGTTATTTAACTGTCGGAGACAGTGATTTAACTGTTAATTGACTTTTTTTTTTCTTCAAAAATATTTTAATTAATATTACTGTATTCGTTGCTAAATTACTAACTCCAGCAGTTACTTAACTCTCGGTGACAGTAATTTAACTGTTAATTGAAAAAATAAAAGTCAACGCCGGAGACCGGCGGTCAACGGTGGTTGACCGGCCGGAAAAAATTTTCAGGAAAAACATTTCAGAAAAAAAATTATTTTCCAAAAAAAAAAAGTTTTGGGGGTTAATGTGATTGTTTAAATCTGGGGTCAATGTATAATATTAAGGAAGTTATAGCATAATGGGTGGAATTGATAAGAATTATATTACTAAGGATATTTTAGACTAAAGACATGGGGATAAATTTAATTGAGAGACTGTTTTTTTTTTTTTTGGACCAAAAAATATATTTAAGTCCCATGTGATGGTACTCAATTAAGTTTGACTTTTTTTTTTTTTTTTTTTTTTCTGAATCTCAAAATATAGTTTTTTTTTGAAATATCGTTAATTAATATAATGTGAGGAAAATATAAGGCTTAGTCGACCTATATATATATATTGGAAAAGGACTTGGTACTCGTGGTTCAATTACAAACAACGATAAGATTATCCGTTAAAAAAAAAGTACAAAAAGCGATAACTTAACAATTTACATGATTATTGTGTGTCGAATGCGTCTTTATGAAAATATTAATTAAAATGGCAACATTAACATTTTAGTTAGTAATATTTTTTTTTTGTCAGTAATTAATTTATGTGCTGCACCATTATATTGTTCGTCTTCGTCCCTATATATTTATTTGTATTTCCATCAATTTTTGTATAAAAAGCACGTGTGCGGCAGGCAGGGCAGGCACACGTTGAGTTAATTAGTTTGTAATGGATTTAATTGGCAGGTACCAAATGCAATTGGATTAATGCTGGGAACACTGCAGCTCATCCTTTATTTCATTTATAAATACTTGTTATCATCCAAAACTACTAATTGCGGATGCCACAAAGACCCCCTTCTTCAACCCCACGCAACCTGTTGAGCATTAATATAAGCTGTTGCACAAATTTTTACCAAAAACAGAAAAAGAAAAGCCTTTTATTCAACTTCTAATTGGTACATTCTTTCATTTTTAGTATTTTATTAATTAAAATTTAAAACTAAATTTGTCTGTGTATGTATATATGTGTTTTTATTTTCACTTTGCCACCTCGAAATTTTGAATTTTTGCACTTTCCCCCATAGATTAAAAAAAGAGATTAATTGCCCCTTCAAAATTTTGCTCCAGTTCTACTTTGCCCCAAATTACAATTTTATTAACTGGAATTGCCATGAATCCATCCAATTGAATGGCATTTGCGTCATTTAAATGACATCGCCGTAATAACTCCTAACTTAAGAAGAAATTGAAAATCCTCACAACCTTGGGACCATAATATAGGCACAATTCATTTTGAGAGGAAAAAACTCATAATTGTTATTTTCAGAAATGGGTAACCATAAATGTTAATTTTGTTTTTTTAGAAATGAGTTTTATTTTTCATCTATTAGAAAATATAAGGATTCGGATGGAAATAATGAAATAACACAAATGTCCTTGAAATGGACAGATAAATGGCAATTCTAGTTAAAAATACGGTGGAAACTGTGTGATACGGACTAAATTGTCCTCATGGGGTTTCCTAATCATTTATTGGGCCGTGGATTGAGTTTTCACTTGTATTTGGCCCAAAGTCATATCAGGCCCAAGAAGAGGAGTTAGGGCAAGTTTGCTTATTTCTTACCCATCAAGTATCCTCACCTATAAATAAGGGGGTTACTCTCAACTTATCATTCCCATGCTCTCTCTTACATATCACACTCGATTATCTCTTGATAAAAATTGACTTGATCGTCGGAGCTTCTACGCCGGGAAACCATTCCTGGCGTTGCAGGTACCACTCCGGCGGAATCCCCGACGAGCTATCATCCAAAATATCTTCCAAGGATCCCACATCATCGTCTCGACCATTTAGGAGCAAATCAAGTGGCGCCGTCTGTGGGAATGGATCTCGAGCTAAGACGTGAGACGATTTGAATTTTTGGATCTTCTCCATGAGGTTGGAGATAATGAGCTGCAGGATCGAGGAGGAAGAACAGTTCACTGTATTTCTTGGGGAGTTTTTTAACGGGAAGCCAAGAAAGGGGCTCAAATCTTGTACTTGGAATCCAGATCTGATGAATCGATGAAGTACAAAGAGGAAAATCTGGAAATAAATATCTTCGTAATGGCTGAACTCGACCGAAATCTAAAAAGAGAAAACTAAAAAGCAAGTGTCTTTGTTTTAACCATCACGAGAGTAATGAAGTTCAAGGGCTAAAGAAAGCCCTTTTGGATATCGAAGCTGAAAAGGAAGATGTGCTACTCCAGTACCAACAATGTCTTGTAAGGCTTTGTAAAATCGAGGGAGAGATAAATGTGTTAGAGTAGGTGACCAACAAGCCAACTTGTGGCTGTGGTCTTTCGTATTTATTATTGTAATAAGCGAACCTTTATTCGTATTAATGATAAAACATCTTGGCATTCTATATCTTTGTCCCTTTGTCACAAGCATAGATATAGTCCTTACAGTTATTACAAGTACCAGTAATTGATCGTTAGGATCGTGAGATATTTACTCAAGTATTATAACTGTTAAACGTGTTCCTAGTCAAAGGGTTACGCCACTAATGAGGATATCGGCCTTTCCCATTAAGACTAGCACTTAGTGTATGTGTACTGCATCTCATCAGTAAACGGTATTGTGATATTGGCATGCATAAGTGGGTGCTCGTAAGTTGACGAGTTCACTGAACTCCCTCACCCTAGAAATCTCTAAGTGGTTCCCAATAATCGAGTAGAGATATCTATGGTATAGTTGTACACCATTAGTCCTTATGACCTAGACATCACCGTGACTTCACTAGAGGACCAGCTGTATCGTGACCTGTCCCTGAGTTCCACCGAGGACCATCCCAAGGGCCAGTGTTCGTGCAGTCCGAAATCTAGTGGGAGGTCTGTGCATTGTAGTCGGGGATTCGATCGCTAGAATAGTCTTGGATGTCCTGTGTGTTCTGAAAGTTTGTAATCATTCTAAGTCTCTGGCCAGAGCTGACTAAGTGATGATTAGAGAATTCGATTCTCTAAGTCATGCACGTAAGGATTACAACACTTAGAACGATCGCACCGTCATCGAACATATAAAGAGGTCTCGATGAACCAATGCCTCTAGTTCGATCGGGACATATGAATCGAAGGGACCGTACTGTACGTTAACTATATCTGAAGGTTCTTGCAGGCACTTCATTTGTATCTAGGGAATCATGACGCGTAGTTGCTAGACGCCAATCTTGATTCGTTGGGTGATTAAGGTGAAACGAGTTTCATCTTAATCGTAACTCTTAGGGGACGAGTTTTGACCACAAAGGGTTGTGGGCCCATGGCTAGCTTACACCTGAACCATCGAGGGTCACACTGCTCGTGTACATGAGATCTTTGAATAAACGGTCATAGATAAAATAGTTTATCTTTGCATGATTGGAAGTCAATATGATTGGATCCAACATTCGTAATTTGGAATTATGAATGAGAATAAGAAAAGGAAAAGAATAGGCTAACGTGTTAGTGAACTTTCTAAATCGGGAAGTTTCCAAATTTAGAAAGTGCACTGAACTAGGGTTTCCACTTTTGGAAAGTTGGAAAATGAGAGTTGACACTCGTAATGACGAGGATATTATAATGATTCCGAAAATGTAATTGTTGCAATTTTCCGATCATTGAATTGAGAGAGACGAGCGAGTAAAAGAACTAACGAGCTTAAGCTGTTGGGCCCGGTCCAACTTAAGCCCGTTAGGGTTTTATGCAAGGGACTATAAATACATGATTTATAGGCCTTGCACAAACACACAACTCAACCCTAACCCTAGCCGCTACACTCTCTCTCTCTCGGCCTCTCTCCCAGCAACCGCCGCCGCGCCGCCGTTGCTCCGCCGTGACCGGAATCGGCCATCAATTGGCCGATCCTTTTCGGTACTCTTTTCTTCTTTCTTTTTCTTCCGTTAATTCTAACTACTTCGTGTCTAGTGCCACGTTTTAGTAGATCGAAGTATACGAGGTGAAATCCGAGAGGAGGAAGACCGAAGAATCGAAGAACAGCCATCAAGCCGACGACGCACGCGACCCACGCGCCGCCCCGAAGTCCGCGCGTGAGATACACGCGCCGCCGTGCTGATCTGCCGCTGCTGCCGCTGCATTGCTGCTGCCCCGATTGTACGGATTGGTTTCCGTAGCAATCTCGACTTGCTAAACGCTCCTACCTCACGCTTCAAGAGGTAAATACACGAAACCCTAGTTTCGGTTCGTTTAAGTTTAAACTATTTATTCATGTTTGCTTCCGCATGATTTTATGTGATTGTGTGTAATCGGTTTAATCTTTGCAAGCATGTTAATTGGTTTAAACGCGAGCATGTTAATTGATTTATATTCAGTTAAATTATTTAGCATGTGTGTTGTTTTTAATTTCGCTGGAAGCGCAAAGGTACGCAATTAATTGATTTAATTTGTCGGGCATGTGCTTATGTGTTTTAAACTCGTTTAATTCGCATAAAATTTTTGTTTTCCGCTGCGTACGCGTGCCCGAAACCCAACAGTGGTATCAGAGCTCGTTGCGTAATTAATTGCGTTGTATAATATGCTATGATTTTATGCATGTTCGATTTATTGAAGTAGTGATTGTCGTATTATGTAATTGGGAGTTTTCGTAAGTTTAAAATATTTTTGAAATATTGTTTAGAATTTTTCCAGCTTTAAAATTGTTTAAAATTGGAAAATCGGATCTGAAAATGTTTTTAAAACATCGGTTTTTGTTTAATCGGATCGAACCGGTCGAACCGGCCGGTTCGATGGTTGTGTACGATTTAGTTGACCGAATCCGCGTGGATTCGGGTCGGTCAGACCGGTTCCCGGTCCGACTGACCCGGCCCACTGATTTGGGTCAATTGGACCGGGCAGAACCGGACCGTTTCGGTCCGAACCGGTCAGACCGATCGGCCGAACCGGTTCACTGAAAATAAAAAAAAAAAAAAAAATTATTTCAGATTTCTAAAATTAAACTTAAAACAAATTGATTTTAATTTTTGGAAAATTATTTTCAATTAATCCCAATTAGATATTTGGATCGACAATCATCTATTTTAGTAAATAGGTGTTAGATTAATTAATTAATTTAAATTGTTAAATTGATTTCAATTAATAGAACACATATATAATATTGATTATAGTTCAACTTAATTAATAGTACCTCAAAATTATTTGAATGATTTATGCTAGTTGAGGTTCTATAATTATTTTGAAAAACCCGATAATTAATTAATGTAATTAATTATATAGTTAGGTCGTATGTTCCTCTTAGGACAATATGCGTTTCCATATACCTTTAGAGAACATAGATGTAGGAATCACATAGACCAATCCGAACCTTCTGATGAGATAAAACTTTTAATAAAACCCCTCATTCTTAATTTAATTGAGAATCATTTCAAGCTATAAAGAATGACCCAATCTGTTGAGTTATTTCTTTCCTTCTGCCAACGGTTGGATTATGTGTAGCCCTTTACTGTAGTGCAGTAAGCCGTGTTAGCGGGGAGTGCTATGGTAGAGTAAGCTGTAATTCAATTGACATAGTGATGAAGGTAGCCATAGAAAAGGGTTATGTTGAATTAACGTGGTCGGCTAGATTAACTAGGGACTGCATTAGTTTGGCATAATCAAGTTCTATGAGCATCTTTGATTGGTAGGTTAGACTTGACACACGACGATTTTGATATTCGCGAGATTAACTTAGGTCATTATCAAGTGTGAGGAAAATTAATTTAGGGTCATATTGTGGATATGATTGATTGTGATCTACCTTTGGGCAAATATAATCGGGCTAGATTAACTACGGGTTATATTTGTCTATTGGACCTAAAGCCCATTAAGAAAAATCAGTTTTCTCGTTTGTCTACTAGAGGGAAGTGGAACTCGATAAAATTAGTGG